ATGCTTTTTTAAGCGCTGAGTTCCCCAAACTGAATGCTGCAATCGGTAACTTACCCTCAGCTGCACTCAGACAGCAAACCATTCAACAACTGATCATAGAGAGAGAGAGAGAGAGAGAGAACTTACCGTTGATTAAACCGATAACAACTACAACACAAATAAATTTGAAGGCAAACATTATTTTCAAAATGTTTTGTGTAGATTTAATGTAGATTTAAAGTTATAAACTAAAGTGTATAACAATTTATGTATTCTTTGCTAAAGAATCACTAATATTTATACCAAGATTAATAAACATTGCAATCCACGTTTGAAAGTTAAAATGGTTATATTTCAATTTGATTAATTGAACACTTGTGCATGGTTGATCGAACAAATTAATTATTGTAATAAAACACTTTCTATAATATTGGCCAAACATAAATTTACATAATATTTTAATTTACTAAATTGGTTATAATAAAATATTGATTAAATTAAAAGTTCAGTTACACAAATTAATGATAGTACAGTATATAAAAATAATATGTATCTTATTCTAAATGTTTACTCAATTAAAATTATTATTAAAATCAGTAAACTATATGTTAGGATTAAACAATATGTTTTAATTTTATATTTAAGTCACTTGACCTTAATGATATATTTTGCAAGTTTATTGAATACTTATCATTTTCTTATAACAATTCATATTAAGAATTAAAAATACTGTAAACAGTGTACTAGGAAACAAATTAATAATAAAACAAAAGTAATTAATTATGTAATACAAATAACACAATAAAATCCTGTTTTTAGCAAGTGTACTTGTCATGATCTCTCCGTGGATTTGCAATTAATTATAATTAGCTAAAGTATAGCATTGTTTGTAATAAATAACATAATAACAAAAGGGTATATAAACTGACTGTTTGAATAAAATTTAAAACAAATCAATTGAATAACATTTTTATCAAAATACAATTAGCAAAAATATGAATTCAATAATCACACTTGTTTTTGGATTGAGTTTGATGTTCGTGCAAGGTAAAACATAACATAAATGCTTATTTACAATAACATTAAAAATAAAATTTACCATTTTATTAGTGATTTCGGAGGAAAATGCTATCGATTACGGAGAAGAGGCGAACACCGATGCCATGAATCTAAGAGCATATAACCTCCTTATGCCGGTCTCACAGATAATGAAAGCGGCAGAAAAACGATACAAAACGCAGGGTTTGACTGTACCCATAGAGTTGTATGAGGACCTCAGAGAGTATGCCATCGATACTATTCCGTGGCTTTTCAACGAGATTAAAGGGATCGCAAACCTAACGGATAGAAACCGAGTGACCGCGCAATACATCGGCGAAATCCACGGACTTAATCATATGAGTAATCGTTTGGATAAACAACGTTTGAGTACACCATTGAACGTAACAGGCACATCCGAGAATCTGCTTGGTAGAATTAAGGCCATGGAGAACTTTATATATGGCTCTTTAGACGATGAAATAGCTAATGCATCGCATTCAGTGCATACTAAATTTCATGCCAAGGTAATTTGTATTTATAATTGTTTATCTAATTATATAAATTTATATAATACGTATAAAATTTATAACAAAAAAATTATTATTTTAAAAACTTTAATATTATTTTTTAATTCAATAGTTGAAAGCATTTTTTGTTGCTGAATTTCCCAAACTGTACAAGCTCATCGATAAACTACCATTTGATGAAGCTAAACAGAAAAATCTTCAGTTGCTTGTCGCTGATCTATCGCACGCATTGGTTCCACCTCTTTAAACCATAAATTATAACTTATCTTATTTAATAATTGACTAATTAAAACATTTTTAATAAATTTAATTTGCATATCAAACAAATGTTTTATGTGTTTGAATAAATTCCGATATTAATGTATCTGCAATGATAGTAACCTTAGGTTCATCGTGTTGTTTATTAGTTAAAACTAGCCTATTCCCGCCCCGCTCTCATCCCGTTCCCACTATTTGATGAAGTCAGTTCATTATTTACTACTAATGTAGTTAAAAAAATTTACCAAAGTTTATTAAATATTAAAAGAGATGATGTTTATTTATTTGTCCGTTATTCCTATGGTAAGAATTAATGAATGAATTATGTTGTGTGAGTAGTAAGTAGGTGCATTCACTGCCATTTTTAGGCCACGCCCAATATTTTTACTTATTTCATCAGTTAGGTCACCTAAATAATCACCACATTCTATCTCTGGGTCATCAAGCTTTCTATAATATAACACAGAATCTGTGTCATGATATAGTAAGCTATACGGCCTAATTAATTCAAGTTTATCCATTAAATTATATAACTTTATTCGCGCATAAGCCGTTACAAAACTAGCAACGGTTAAATTAAATTTTCGCGCTTTAGCCATTTCATCATTTGTATATTCCCAAGTCACTATCATCGTGTCATCAGTAACCATATATTCTCCTTTAATCTCTTTTTGCTTATCTAATACTATATCATAATAATCACTTATCGAATGAATAATCTCCGTTTGCGTTTGGTTTGGTCTTTGGGCAAATTTACCCCAAAACGAATTTAACATAATTTTAGCTATCCAACGAAGAGTCTCATTCTTTTCAATCTTATCATACTCTAGTTCAACATTTTCCTTGATTTTGTAATCATCTATATATTCTCTTTTCTTTTCTTCAGTCACACACCAACCAGGCCAACCAGATGCTTGTTGTTTGATTTTAAGCCACATATCAATATATTTAATAAATTTATTATCGTTAATATCACACTTAAAATTCAATACCTCATAAATCTCTTTTATCAAATACCCTTTTTCTACAGCTAATTTTAATTCTTCACTAACCCAAGTACCGATAAAAGATCGATCAGCACATGCGCACTCATCTAATTTATTCATAGCACACTCAACACATAGAGGGAATGTCAATTTTTTATTGACAACTACTGGCAATACAGGTAAGTATAACCCTTTAGGGGCAACAACTTTACATTTAATTATACCAAAATAACTTTGTAAAGAGTAATCGAAATTTTTATTAATTATTTCAGGATGCCCAACAGGGTATGGGAAATATTTTAAAACAAAAGGATAAAGACTACAAAAATCTAGATATTTAATTTCTTCATCATCATTAACTTTTTTATAAAATTGTATATTATTAGTTCTGCCACCAAAAAAGGCATCACGTATATTAACGGTGCCTACTTTATATAAAGTCCTATAATATTTAAATCTAGAATTATAATAATTTTTTAAATCTAAATTCGTAGACATGTTTTTAGTCAATTGGCATCCCCACATACAAATTACTTTATAATTTTTGCTTAAGAAATTTAATTTTTCAATAATTTGATCATACCGTTCATTTAAACTATATGATTCTCCTCTATTTACTAAATATTTTTCATTTCTATCGATAAATGTTTGGCATAGACATCCATGCCAATAACATCCTAAAAATTCATATACAGTATTTGTTTTATCATCAAACCCATCAACCCAGTATTTGCCTATTCTATATTCTTTATTTAAATTTATATTTTTAATTTTTTCAATCCAATCTAACCAGCAATTAGATGCAATTGAAAACACTTTGGATTTTTTATAACCCCCAACTGGCGTATTTGCCAATTGATTGTTATCTAAAAATAAAGCAGTGAACGTTTCCATAGCAATAGATGCTAAAGTAAAAGATCTAGTTATCGGGTCTAGACTTGTAATTTCTTTAAACACATCCCTGAATTTTAACACACATTTTAATAAAATATCTACATCATTAAGGCAATACTCTTTCAATTCTTTTTCAAAGCACCAATCATTTCTTTCTAATTGAGAGGTATGCCACTCCTCCAATTTCTTTTTCTTATCTACAGACATGTACTCTAAACCAAAATATTGTAAATCTGGAATTTTACCAATATATGTATAATTTTCGGGTTTATTAAATAGATGGGGGAAGTCACCTTTTTTAATAGTGACATCTAAACCTAATGCCCTAGGCAATTTCTCTAACGATTGAAGAAAGAAGTTTAACGAGTCCAACATTTTTACATTACCACATCTTATTAATAAAATTTTTCTACCCCTTAAAATTACATCAACTTTATTATAATATCTATTCCACAATTCCCTTAATACAAATTGTGCATCGTATGCTCTTGCATTATGCGCAAATGCATATATTATAGATTTACTTTTTTCAGCCAATAGTGCCAAGTCTTCAAATAAATAATCAACAAACAACTTTATACAATCATTACCGAAGAATATATTTGTTTGTTGTTTACAGATTACGCAACTTGACCAATCTTTACATAAATCACACTTAACTTTAGAAATTAACAAGTTTGGAATATGATCAAGATGTTCCTGTGTACATTCAATGTCATATGACACTATAAATTTATTAATTTTATCTTCAACAACTAAATCACTAATTAATTTAGATTCAATATAGCAATAGTGAGGTTGTTTAGTAAATTTTTTATTGCATTTAGAGCACTTGAATTCTCCGCAAATATGTTTCTGTTGCCCTTTAACGCTTAGATTGCAATTTATACAATTATGTAAATTTTTACATAAATTATTTTCTTTATGATTATTAAAACAATCATTATTTTTAAATTTTCTATTACATTCTGTACACAATATGTTCTCATTGTTATCTGAATTGCAAATCATATAACAAGACTCACATTTGAATGGACATTTATGATTGACAAAAGTATTGTAACCATAATGACACATTACACAGAAATAATCATTACCATAATAGCCTTTTACATTTATAATAGAATTATAATGTTTATCGTTATACTGAATATATAATTTATTTTGATGATCAGGTCCTTTAAATAAAATATTATACTTATTTAATGAATCTATAATGTATATTTGATAGTTATCTAATTTAGTTTGTATAATCTTTCAATCTTCAATATCTACACGTTTATTTACATTCATACCTATAAAGCTAGCTAGTTGTTTAGCCAGCTGTAATTGTTTTGGTCGTTCAGACCTAATTACATACAACCACTCTTTTCTATTCAGATTACTTTTATTATCACAATGATACTTAGATACAGATAGGGCTCTGAATGCACATGTCTCGTCATTATTATTTATAGTGACAACTGATAATTTACTTTTATTCATTTCATCAATAGTTTTAGGGGCTTTAGGTATAGTTGGCTTTCCTGTACCAGCTGGATTTTTAGTAATCGCTATTACTAACTCAAACTGACCATTCATAAGAAAAGATTTGAAACTCTGTATAATTTTTTCAATTCTATTGAATATAGTTAATATATCATAATCTTTAATTTTGCGTGGGGCTATAAAAATGGGGGTTTCCATTTCAGAATGAATAAGTGAAATTGAAAAGTAATCATCACTATCAGCAAGTTTTAAGCTATTTTGAATAATGTCACCTAATTGTTCAATGAACTCTTCTCTAATATTATATAAATTAGCTACTGATAATATATTATGTTTAATCATAAATTTAGTTTTATATTCGTTTCTATTAAACTTATCGTACGTTTTAGTAGACGTACCGTTAACAATCTTTAATTCAAGTTCAGAGTCCATAATTATATTTTATAAATTTAATCTATAGATTTGCTCCTATTATAAAAATATATGATTAGGTATGGCAACAATCACAACAGTTTATAAGTAAATAAATCAAAAAAAAGTTTAAGCTATATAAATCAAAAATTATTTTTAATTATAATATAAAATTATATTTACATTTACTTTAAATACAATTACCAAGAAAATTTATTTACCTTTAACGTAGAGATACGGCTGTTATTACGGTATCCAAAACAATCTCAAGAACTGTAACCAATCGGAGCACAAAATGTATTGTAAAGACTAATTCAGTTGTGATGAGTTTATATACAACATTAATGAGGTCAACAAAATTTATAAACCAGGTCAGGAGAAATATGTAGGACATCTTTTTGTAATTCGCTTGCGGCATATATGACAAGTTTTAACCTGTTTAGCGCATTTTATACAAACTTGATGCCCGCAGGGAATTAACACAATTCCTACTTCATATTCTAAACAAATTTTACATGTCAATAGTTCATTAGTAGCAACAGTAAGATTAGATGTTTTCATTATTGCAACATTAGTATTAAGGTCAATTATATTTCCATTTTCTAGATAACACTGAATAGACTCATACAATTCTGCAAATATACTAAAAGGTACGTTACATTCATCATATCTTTTACTCATTATATTTAATAACTGATTATAAGTAACTAATTCCAATTCTAGTGCATGTACAGCAATATTTTCACTTACCCATATTCCTATGTAATAGTTTCTAAAAATAGACATTGGAGGTGGAGGATCCATAATATCATCATCATCAATATCGCTATGTATTTCTATAGGAACATCTTGATAATCATCATCATCATCACTATCACTATCGCTTTGTATTTCCCTTTGTATATAATTTTGAACGGCTTCGTATAATTCTGCAAAACTACGATATGGTCCTTTGCCCTGATTCCATTTGATGGTCATTACATCTTTTAGCTGATTATATGTTGCTAATTCTAAAGTTAATATTTGTACTGCAATATCGTCTCGCAACCAACTACGCACATTTTTTTCTCTATACCCTAGGGCAATTGGATTTCCCGCTACATCACGACATTTTCTTACCGTATCTATAATATATTGTAATCCTTTTTCCTCCATAACATAAGGACAAGTAGGGTGCCATCTAGTGTGTTCTTTCCAAGCATCATCCCATATTTCCCAATTACTTAACTTCCCGTTACATTTAAAACATTGAACACAATCAGTAACACCAATAGAATACATACCCGCATTTGCCAAAACAACTGACGATACATTATATAATGTATCCCAGTCGCTAGCAAATGTTGCGAGTCGTTTCTCATACGTCTCATATGTCGGTGTAGATACACTGTCATCGTCAACACTGATTTCATCCATTGCAAATACTGTTTACGTTTACAAGTTTGTTAGCTATTATATACCTATCTCACAACCTATTTATCAATTAATCAATGCTAACCAATCAGAACGATATTAATATAGGTCACAAAATTAACTTTTTAATAGTTTATTTAACTTAATCTCGAATTATCATAATTTACAACTTTATTTGAATTAGTTAGTGTACATTTTAAATGTAACTTTTTAATTAAATTTTCAATAATTATTAATTTATTCATAATAATCATTGTTATAATACATAGAATAATTAATAAACTTATCATATTTATTACTGTTAAATGTTTTTTAATATAGTTATAAATATTTTTTAAATTAAATTCCATTTTTATTTATATAAAATAAAAAGTTTACTTCCTAATATAAGGATTAATTTCTTTTATTGCATCAGTAAATACCCCAGTTAAATGACTTTTCGACCTAAATCCAGTACCAAACATGACCCCATTATGTGTAAGCGTTAGTTTTTTTTCCTTGATTATATATTTCAAGGATATGAATAATTCAGGTGTATAATCACATTGTTTAGGTCGTTCAATACATAATTTATGTATATCAATTTTAGTGCCAAATTTAAAAGTAGCACAGTAATTAGTTATAATAAACTTTAACATTCTGGCTTCATAAGGGCCTATACAGCTCAAGGTAAACACGAGATCGCTAGCGGCGTTTTCGAGTTCTAATTCAGTTTTACCACCTGTTAATACAACTATTCCTGTACTATAAATCATAAACGTTAACTTTGTTTCATTATATTTAGCTGTTAGACCACTAAATTTCTTAACGTCATAATTCTTTTTAGTCAATATATCATAAAAGTCATTAGTATAGATTTCATCCAAGTTGACATAGCAACCCATATTGAATTTAGCACAAATATTCGTGACCTGTATGTCTGGATGCATTGTGTATACTAAATCAATAATTATTTAAAGCTAGTTTATATAAACTTTTGACCCACTTGTTTAGGTTTGTCCTGTTCGTAATTTGCGAAATACTAGATGTCGCTACTAGTGCTGGATTTGCCTTACGGGTATCTTTGTTTTTATTGTAAATATAATCACGATTTCTTTAATATTAGAGTTGATAAAGACTTTAATTATATAAATAGAACTTTTCCAGTAATTAAGACTATATATTTTAGATATGTTCTTCCTTTTATTTATCATTTAAATGAACAACAATTGTTATAAATTTCATAAAAATTATTTTATTAATATTCATTAAAGTTTTACATTATATTTTATTATATTATATAATATATTATATGTAATCAATATTCAAATAAAAAATTAAAAACCAAAAAAATAATTTATAATATATCTTCTTCATATTTATTTAAATAATTAAAATTTGAGAATTTTGTTTCAATCTCCAACTCCAAAGCTCTATTCATCAACTTATTCTCAATATCATTAATATTTTCCAATATTTTCTTCATTTCGTCTACTTCAATTACAATTTTTCTTTCTGTATTATCAGCTCTTGTCAAGGTTATAACCACCTTATTCATAGTTTTATCTACTTTAATCACTCTATTTCCATGTTCAAGGACATAAATCCTGTTTTCATCTAATCCTAGAGCATTCTTTAGCCACCCAAATTCAGGTACCAATAAAGCTACACCAGTTTTAGTATTTCTTCCTTTAAATGTCTGCCTGACATCAAATACTAACCCTAGTTCTCTACTCTCTAATACTTGAACTAGTTTAAAATCTTTATCATTATTATTACTCAAGTTCAAAGCATAAGTGGTTTTCCACAGTTGATACATTTTGATATCTGATTAATAATATACACATAAAACCTTCCTATTATAGATTATTCCATAAGATCCACAATTGATTCTGAATCTAGATAAGCTTTAACTTCTCTATATAAATCGTAGGCTTTTCTATAAGCACATATTAATTTAATACGGTTGCGAGAGTCCAATTGCCATGCATTGTACTTATAATACTGAGGCTTTTTATGGTAAGCACATAAATATGGTTCGTTATATTTATCCTGAATTTCTTTATATGGTGGGAAATTTAAATCCTTTTCCAAGTCAATACAAGGTATATCAACTGATTGTAAGATTCTACCCATTTGGTATCCTTTATAACCAAATAAAGGTTTATCTTCTGTGGCAGTAGTCTCATACCATCTACTCAGAATTATCCCTATATCGTTAGCTTTTGGTAAATAATTAATGTGTTGGGGGTGAAATGGTTTATGAAATAACCCATTAATATTTTGAGTAGTATATGTAATAGTTTGCTGATCCTTTTTTGATAAAGAACCCCATTCAATCTCAGTATTAAGCTCTCGGCACTCACATACCCCCTCGCCTACTATTGCTACTTCTCTCGGGGTAAAATGATCTGTAAATTGATACCCTTGGCAATCAACTATGGCACATATTTTATCCATTTTTAATTTAATCTGTGACGTCTGTGTCTCCTATTATGCACTTTAACATGTTTAATTACTACTCTTTTGCGTTTAACGCGCTGACGTATTTTAATTGATTTACGCCGTTTAATCCGCTTTCCGTTTCCTTTCTGTTTATACAGTGGATTAGCGAACGACAAGTTGGGTTGTGAAAAACTTTTGTTGGTTTTAACTTTATCAGGTAATAATAATTCTAAACTATCATGAAGCCTATTACCTTTCTTTTTCTTGCGTAATTTATGCAAAAAATTAAATTTCGAACGTAATTTATCCATTTTAAAATTAATTTATTATTAACTTACTATTATATACAATTTAAAACTATAATATCGTTAATACATTGATTATTAGTATATATACTTAAAAATTTAGAAAAGTTTATTGAATTACATCTAGATTTAATAAATATAATACAATATAAACCACAATTGCTTGAAAACATACATTGAATTGTATTACTGTTGTATATTATTTTGTTGATACTATTTAGTGACAATAGGTTATCAATTTCTTTTAAGGGTTTCCCTCCAAAAGAATCAAAATATTCAGCTACATTATCTTTTGTTATAAATAATGCTACCCAATGCTGTCCTGGTTTATTTGATGGATCAGTATTTATGATAAAACCAATAGGTCTTTCAGTATATAACTGTTGTGGTAACTCATCTCTAGCAAATGTACCTTTAAAACAATGTAGTTCTTTAAGTTGATTGTTAATTTCAAAAGTATCCATTTTGAATTTTTATTTAAATTTTACCTATTATTAACTTAATTATAATCTACAAAAACATCTCTAGCCGCATCAATCTCTACTAAATTATCATATTCGCAGTACATTATAACATTAATATTTTTTGCTAATGCATTTTTAAATTTTAAATGGAGTCTCATAGACCCGAATTGGGTAGGATTAACATATCCTGTTTTGTTACAGTCATCAACAGGGTCAGGAGCTAAACTAAAACCAAATATCGTATTGCCATTTTTATATTCTTTATAATCCATGCATAGACTTGAATCAGTAGTTAAAATATTTAAAGTATCATAAAGTCCAATATATTCTCTAGCGTATAAATTATTAGCAAAGTCAGGAGTATAGGGGATAGATGGATACTGAATGCCATCTACTGACAACGACAAGTAATTTAAATCAAAATGCTGGAAATAAAACGGATTTGTACTCAGTGATCCATTTACTGCCTCATGATCTACCATTGCTATGAAGACACGCCTGGGGATTTGTCCAGTAATACAATTATCTAAATTAACTTCACTAAGTGTTGAATTAACTGTAAATGACTTGACATGACCTCGCATTATAGGATATTTTGCCCTTCCCTTTGATAATGCCAAATTATGAGCTTCGACAACATCTTGACTAACTTTAGATCTTGTTGCATATAAAATGCATTCTTTAAATTCTACTTTTGGGCTTAGTGTATCAGTTTTATTCCAAATATAAAAATCAGAACTATGCGGTGTTAGAGTAAATTTAAGTTTAACCCCTCCAGGTAAAGCTTTTGGTTGAAAAGCTAAATCTAAATTTAATTTGCCAATCAGTACTATATCTATACCACTGCCATCAGCTTTAAATGTCACTGGTTTAATTAGCTTTGCTTGGTCTTCAAAAATTTCATCTTTTTTGAGTTCATCGTTATAGAAACCAAGTGCAGACATGAACCCTACTTTAGCACTTTCTGTAAATCCTAAATAATTTTCAAAAAATGCCTTATACGGATACAATTGCGAGGAAAATGTAATTGATTTTCCATTAATCTCCAACTCTGCACTTTTGAACAATGAATGCAATGTATTATTAATTGGTTGCATTTTTAACCAATCAGGTTCTGTCAATCCAGTAACTGTACCATCTCGTTTAGTCATATTAACTCTTAATTTAAATAATAATAAAGTTTCCTTCAATTGAATATATTCATCAATAGCCGAGGTTACAAATATTTCAATTGGAGCGAGGTTATTTCCAGTTATTGGGGCAATAGGTCTATGTTCTGTAACTATATTTTTATTTATAGTTAACTGAGTAGGAGGTACTGCAAAAATATCAAACTCTGGTAATGTGGTTATATGAGTCATTGTTATAATTTAATTTATACAATGATTACCGCTTCCTATTATAAGATTGTTTTCTTTTTTGCTTCTTCTTTTTGGTTTTACCACCAAAACTATATGGTGATTTCCGTTTCTTATTACGGCGAGGTATACCCGACCCATTTTGAATTCTTGATTTAATATGATCTAGAGTAGTTGTGGCAGCACTTTTTCCTACATCAACCAACCTTGACTTTGCAGCCTCACTTAAATTTTTACCTTCAATTAAATCTTGAGAAAACCCAATAGCAGATGGTAATGCAGATTTTAATAAATTTGGTGCTAAACTCTTAATAAAACTTCCAAT